AGAATCCTAATCACCTACAGTAATACAACTGGAGAATTGTATGAAGTAAGAATTTTAAAAATGTATTTTTCACAGAAAAATACTTAGAGGCTGATTTATCACATACAACACAGGATGAGGGCAATAGTAAGAACTAAAAAAAAAAAAAAAACCTCTCAGCTTGGTTAGCTTTGATAGACAGTTCTTATAATAATAATAATAATAATAATAATAATAATAATAATAATAATAATAATAATAATAATAATAATTTAATTTGTACCCCGCCCTTCTCCTCACCGGACTCAGGGCGGCTGACAGCCTAATAAAACCATAATACAATACATATCTATATTAAAACCAAATTAAAAGAAAATATTTGAAAAGGCCAATCATTAAAATTACCCTTAAAACTACCCTTAAAAGCCCCACTTCTTCCATGGTAGATTAGTATTTCGGGTGACTTTTAGCCAACCACTATGTATGTATGTATGTATGTATGTATGTATGTATGTATGTATGTATGTATGTATGTATGTATGTATGTATTTATTTAATATTCCAGCTTTATTATTTTTCTAAACAACTCAAGGCAGAGAACATATCTAATACTCTTTCTTCCTCCTCTTTTTCTCACAACAGTAAGCCTCTGAGGCAAGTTGGGCTGAGAGAAAACGACTGGCCGAAAGTCACCTTCATTAGGATCTATTTAGCTTCTTCCTTAACTTTTACTGCAGATAAACTTGTCTTTACGCTTACAATCAGGTATTAGACTAAGAACTGCAAAGCCAACAAAAACATTTTAGGTGTTCATTAGACCCCCTTTCTCTTGTCCTGAAACTGTCTATTGGACCATTCTGTTGCTGAAATACCGTAACTAAATTAAACCTTCTATTACTATCCTACACATGGAAATGGATTGGTTGCAAGGCAGCTTCCACAGCCAGCAAGAAGTTTGGTAAGGGGATTTCTCTTTTGTTCCTTAATAGTTACGACAGGGAATTACAATCTGATTTTAAAATAACCAGAAGCACCAATAGATTACCCATAATTAGAGACTGTAATTTTCGCATACAGTCCAGTATTAGTTATGTTGTGACAAATCAATCTTCAGAACTGAGGCCAGAGTTACTAGTTTTCTTCCACTGGGAGCAATCTACGCTGTCAAATGGGCCATGGGTACCACTTGATTTCTGATTTTTTCTTGCATGAGATGGGTGTCTGCAGCCGAAACGCTAATTAGCTCCCTGCTTTATATTTATTTATTTATTTATTTATTTTTCATAATTTATATGCCGCCCTTCTCCCCACGGGACTCAGGGCGGCTCACAGCATATTAAAATAACACAATACAAACAACACACACAACATTTCCCCTATAAAAGCCAATTAAAACCAAATATTTGTAGCTGTGACATTATTAAAATCATTAAAAATTATCCCTATTTAAAATNTGGAACACTGCTATCATGTCCCCCCTCGTCCTTCTCTTCGTTAAACTAGACATACCCAATTCCAGCAACTGTTCCTTAAACGTTTTAGCCTCCAGTCCCCTAATCATCTTTGTTGCTCTTCTCTGTACTCTTTCTAGAGTCTCAACATCTTTTTTACATCATGGTGACCAAAACTGGATGCAGTATTCCAAGTGTGGCCTTGGAATAAAATAAAAGTAAAGTAAATAAAATTTACTTTTAACTTTCTGGAATCTGCTGCTTAGTTTAACTGTGTTGACTTTCTTTCCTCTAATTCTGGCTTTGACTATCTCCTTCCTGATGTCCATTGCCTACACTTCTCATGAAAATCATTAATAATTTCCCCTCTACCAAAACAAAGTACTTTTACTCTCTAGCTCTCTATGACCTTTTGGCTTTGATATGATGTCCTCCTTTTATGTTCGAGTCTCTATGATTCCAGTCCTAGGTGGTTCTGTTCTTACCTGTTTAATTTATCTTTTGATGTTTTTCACTTTAAATTAAATATTGGATAACTTGTTATGACATTAACAAAAATTACATCCTAGTGGCTCAGTAGTTACAATGCGGTATTGCAGGCAAACTCTGCCTACAGACTGGAGTTTGATTCTGACGAGGATCAAGACTAACTCAGCCTGTCATCCTTTCGAGTTCAATAAAATGAGGACCTAGATTGTTGGGGGCAATATGATAACTTTGTAAACCAAGAGAGTGCTGTAAAGCACTGTGGGGTGGTATATAAGTCCAAGTGCTATTGCTATTGCTATTCATTTAAAATACAGCATAGCCCAAGGATTCATGTTTAAATATGGAAATCTGATGACATGGGATGAGCTATTATCAACTATTATGCTGATGATACATCTCTGTCCTGGATCAAACAAGTGATGTTACGCAGGTTCTGTCTCAGAGACTGGAGAATGTAGGAATGTGGATGGGAAATTAGCTCAATCCTGCCCAAACTGAGTTTTGGGGATTGTGGATTCTAGACTGAGTTGCACTAGCCCGGAAAGAAATGGTATGCGATTTGGAGATCTTTCTGAAGTCAAGATTTCTGTTTAAAAAGCAGATGGCAGCCCTGGCCAAGAGGGCTTTTATACAAAGTGTAACACTTGCAGCTCTTCCTGGCATTGCTCATGTTACACAATGGGATGGGATGGGATGGGATGGGATAGGATAGAGCTGGAAGGGACCTTGGAGGTCTTCTAGCCCAGCTCCCTGCTCAAGTAGGAGAACCTGTACCATTTCAGACAAGTTACTCTCTAAACCAGTGGTGGCAAACCTATGGCACGCATGCTGGAGGCCGCACTCAGAGCCCTCTTTGTGGGCATGCGCACTGTCGCCCCAGCCCCGCCTCCCCCCACGGCCCCCTTCTCACCAGCAGCCCCCCTGGAGGAGAGTCACCCCCGGGCGTGGACTGTGTGGAGCAACACAGCCAAGCACATGGCAGCCGGGCAGTGGGGACAAGACTCCACCCTCATGCGGGGCACGGGCGGAGGGCGTGGCTGCCACGGCACTGCTGGGCCGCCTGGGCGATCTACTGCAGTGGGCCGTGGAGGCGGTGGGTGGCCTTGCAGGGGAGCGGGGGTGGAGTGGGTGGGACGCGGAGTGGGGTGGGCGGGGAGGCACTTAGTCTCTAAAAGGTTCACCATCACTGCTCTAGACTCTTCTTAAAAACATGGCTTAGACATCTGCAGAGTAGTTTATTGCAATGAGCTCTATGTAAGACTGCCCTTGAAGACTATCCAAAAGTTGCAGCTAGTCCAGAATACAGTAGTATGGGCAATTATGAGCACATCTCTGCCGTGTGAACTGTGCTAGTGTGCTTTCAGGTGGAATTCAAGGTACTAGGGGTCACCTATAAAGCCTTCCAAGGCATGGAGTTCAGATATTTGCAGGACCCCTTTTCCATGGTTGTTTCTACCTATCCCAGTTTCTCTGACCGGAGGGGCGTGCAATGGATCCTTCAGTTAAAGAATGACATCTTATGGGACCCTGGAAGTATGATATTTTGTTGTGGTGCCTGCACTCTGCAGCATCATACCACCTGAGATAGATTGGCCCTGACTCTGCTAGCCCTTTGTAAACTGATGAAGACCTGGATGTGTTCCAGGGCCAGGAGATTGACAGGTGAGTTGGCCCATTGAAAAGTTTCAGTCTATTGTTTAGCTAGATTCATTCTGAGTGGCCATTGCTGCTTTTAATTCTTTGCTAATATTATTTTTTTAGTGATTTAACATATTGTATGTATTATTAATACTATTTGTGAGATAGGTACCATAAATGAATGAATAATGTTTAAAAATGCTATTTTCTAACAAAGAGTCAGTTTGATGTAGTGATTAAGGCACCAGGCTAGAATAGCAATGGCAATAGCATTTAGACATATATATATCTCTTCACAGTGCTTTACAGCCCTCTCTAAGCGGTTTACAGAATCAGCATGTTGTCCCTAACTATCTGGATCCTCATTTACCAACCTCGGAAGGATGGAAGGCTGAGTCAACCTTGAGCCAGTGAGACTCGAACTGCCAAAAACCAGGAGACTGTGAGTTCTAAACCCAATTCAGATGAGTGGCCTTGGTTCAGTCCCTCTCTCTCAACTGTAAGAAATAAGCAACAACAAACTACTTGCAAAATCTTGCCAAGAATACTGCAGGGACTAATCCAGGCAGTCACCAGGAATCAATACTGACTCAAAGGGACAAAAATAAAAAATAGAAATGGTGTAGGGCTCCTTAAAAAACATAAGCTATGGTGACTGAGATACTAGAAAAATGGTCGATGGGCCATTTGCTGTAAAAATGTAGGGTTATGGCATGAACTCAGAGGGAAGGGAGGAGATGTACCGTATATTTGCAAAGCCTGCATAACAAAGATAAAGGAAGAGGGAGTGTGGACTGGTGGGACCCCTTTCAATATAAAAACAAGAGCTGACTGTCAGGAATATCATACAAGACATATTGCTAAGAGAAGGAATGAGGCTCAGACAGAGCCAATAGAAAAAAATACTAAAAGGCTTCTAGGATGCCTATTAGTTAACTTTTAGGAATAGGATTGAAGTACAGCCAATAGAATACTTGTTAGATAACCTTTGAAGTGTTTGTTAGAAATAGGGATGATGTGGAGCCTATAGAGGACCCTTTAGATAACTTTCAAAAAGCTATTAGACAATGTTTCTTTATCCTGCCTTGAAAAACTGTATAAAAGCTTGTTGAACCCTTTGTTCTGGGTCCTGACATTTTGCTGACTGGGACCTCTTTTGCTGAAGTGCTTCAATAAAAGGAAATCGATCCTGCACATCGTGTCTGGTAGTTTTCATTGGCTTTGGCGCCAGACTAAGATCAGAATTTGGGGACAACAGGGTACCCTATTCATCTGCCTTTGAGTAAAGATATTTCTTGACCATTGATACTCCCATGGCAGCCATTTCTGAGAATTCATACAAGATTTCAAATATATTGACAGATCTCTAACTAGCAGAACCCTGCTTCTTGGGGGTTTTTTCTGCAAAGATTCAAAACAGAAGCATGGGAGTACTTTTCCTACCTGTATAATTGTGTTGCCACCTTCCAGTAGGGCAATAGCCAACAGGATGCTTTCATGGAAAACTCTATCACTAGTGGCATTCATGATGAGGTCTATAACTAGGTTGGATGCTCCTTCCTTATCCAAGTGACACTGGACTTCTGTCAAACTCATTTCACCACGGTTTGTTGAGCTGGATCCTGATCCACCTCCTACAAAAAGAAACAAACAAATAAAGCCATTTGAGTTTCTCAACATTAGAAAATATGTCGCTTTCATTCAAATAATTAAAGCAAGCAAAGAAAGTTTTAACTGTGAATATGTTCTGGTTTATTGTCTGCTTTGCACTAGCATGCTTTGCTCTTTATGGTGTTAGCAAGTGATGGTGTTATTAGAAACGTTGTTTATTTTTTAATATTCTTTCCAACCTCAAGGAGCTCAAATGTGATAGCATTATAAATAGAAACAACGTCATAATGGTTTCATAACTATTGTAAAACAATCATAAATTACTACACCAGGAATAAATTTAACGTAATTAAAACTATTTGAAAAAGTCTACAAAACTTTTCTAAAAAAGCTAGTTCAGACGCTATTATAGACCACCCAGAGAATTTATATTATTACGTGCAAACTAGTATAATCAATTAATCGCTGTGGTGACACAAACAATATTAATTCCTGTTCTCCTTTAAACCTGAAAAATGTACAAGTTGGTTAAAGACAATAAAAATAAATGTCATTTGGGGTTGTTAGAATATATATTACTGATCAGAATTTACAAAGATTATTGTTTGTACCCATGTGGTCTCTCCATGTTTATCACCTCTTGTTTCATTCTTTAATGCAGAGATATCAGTGGACAATTTGCACTGCAATTTGCACTACAAATATTGAAAATTATAATCTCTTAGCTGTCCCACATTTTTCGTTAGATCAGATCTGTCATTACATATAGTCCTCCTTTAATGACATTGTCAGGGACTGTTCTAAGTTATGATGGCCTTGAAGGCTTATGAGCCGTAGTGGTGCAGTGATTAGAATGCAATATTACAGGCAAACTCTGCCCATAGCCAGGAGTTCGATCCTAATCAGCTCAAGGTTGACTCAGCCTTCCATCTTTCTGAGATTGGTAAAATGATGACCCAGATTGTTGGGGGAAATATGATGACTCTATAAACTGCTTAGAGAGGGCTGTAAAGCTTCATAGTGCACTATGAAGTGGTGTATAAATCTAAGTGCTATTGCTATTATGAGCAGTCCTCAGAATTGCCTGCCATCATGTAATCAGAATTGCCTGCCATCATGTAATCATGATTTGGGTGCTTAGCAAACAGCTCACAATTCCAAATGGCATTGTATCCCACAGTCATGTGATTGCCATTTACATCATTCACCACCAGCTTCCAATATGCAAAGTCAATAGGGAAGGAGACACAAAGTTGTAAATGGTAATCACATGATATTGCACCTGACAACTGTTGAAGATTTGCTTAAAAATGGCAACCAGTAATGCCGCAACTGCTCATAAGTGCACATCAGGCATGAAAGCTAAGATCCACACATGAATGTTCAATGAAACTGATTTATTGCTAAAGCCTATGCACAAAAATCTTCTCAATTATCGGTCAAAGCCAGATGGTGTACATACCAGCGCACGCGAATGGTGGTGTTGGGGATAGGAAGGAGGAGGATAGGGAGATGGGAGTGGTCTGGGGGGGAGCGAGATTTGGTGTGGCTGAGGCACACGGTGTGAATGAGGTGGTAGAGGAGGTCACTGGAAACGAGAGAAAGGGGAGGGAAGTTGGAACACGTAGGGTTAGGAAGAGAGATGGGGGCAATGGGCAACAAGGGGGTACCCTGGGCATAGGACTGAATCCCCCCCCCGGTATACGAACAAGGAAGGGAAGGAGCAAAGGTGGGGAAGAGGGAAGTAGGAACGTGTCAGCTGGCGATATGACAGTTAGGAGCCGAATGCAGGAAGATCGGTTGGGCCCAATCACGAGGTCTAGGAGTCGGGTGCAAAAGGCACCACTCCTATAAGTAGCCATCCCATCGACTGCTAACCACCCTGATGATGGGAGAGGAAATTAATGAACAGACCAATTTCCAATACTTTAAGAATTAATTCAGGAGACAACTTTTTCAGTGACAGAGAGGTAATAGAGAATGAAAAACACCTGCTGAAAGCTGAGTCTGTCAGCCAAATTCATCTAGCAATTAGGAGACAGAAGAGCCAACATGCCAGTCTCACAAGTTATCAAGCAGCATTCAAAACATCCTACCTGCTCCTCCAGGTTTGTTGGGCCCTGCAGGAGATAAAGGGCCATTGCCAAAGCTGGTGAGGCTCTCTCGTCTTCCTCCACTTCTGATGTTCCCATAGTAACGATTTACCAAAACCTGTCTCAGGGCCTCCCCCTTAATTCAAAGATATTGAAAGACAGAAACACATGATGAATGGAACAAGTGAGCCAAAGTCAACAAAAATAGTAAAATTGGATTTCAGCTGGTCAGAAACAGAACAGAAACAAGACTGTGAAGAAGAGATATGAATGTATATAAACAACAGAAATGTTATGTACCTATACTCATTTAAAAATGTTATCTCTAGATCTTCAGATACTTTTATGAACGCTACAAGTAAATGGCTTTACAGTAAAAAAAACATATTCTAATATGAATGAATCATGGAAAGAGCCAATGAAAATTGTATATAGGACACAACTGAAAATAGCCCTCAAATATTTATGAAACTAACTATATTATAGTTCTGTGACTGGTTAAAATTATTGAAAGTATCTTCCAGAAAGATGTTTCTTATCATGAAATAAAATATCTGTGCATCTCATGTCTCTATCAGTGAAGTAAATTGAATGGGTTCCTTTACCTAGGAATTTCCTAATTCAGTTATATTAACTTTTAAATTCAGATAATTACAACCTAGCATACAATTTCTTAAATTTTGAAAAGGTGGATCAAGAAATGCAAATATTTCAACAGAAATGACACGTGATAGGAAATGGACACCGTAGGCCCTTTCCTATCTCCTTCTTTCCTACCTCTATAAGGACAATGACAACCATTAATATCAGATCTGTCTACAAATATAATACTAAGCAAGTAAAGTTTTTAGTGTACACTTGTTGCCTTCTGAGAAACATTTTTCTTTTAATTTTTCAGCAGCTGCATATGCTGGCAAACAGTTTTCTTGTTTTACAGAATACTGCAGAGATGATTGCCAAAAAGAGAATCCCATCCAAATATCTCAACTTGGAGAAGTGATATTAGAAGGAATCCAAGCAGGTAAAGTTACCACTGTAAATCTAATAATAAATATTGTTTCTTTTTTTGTCTTATTACTGACTTCTGAAAAAAAGGGGAAGAGCTGTTTTCCCCTGTCAGCAATAAACCTGCAGGATAGAATCAGAGTACATTTGTGTTTTGTCTCATTTTATGGCCCATCACCCCCATCAGATGAACCACTGGCAGGTTCAGCCCTGCTCTAGTGAACTGTTGCTGTGAAAAGGGGAACAGATTAGAATAGTTCAAAGTCCCAATATATCAACATTGCAAGCGGTGAATATTGCCCACTCTTTGACAAGATTGAAGCACTTTTAACACTGTCTAAATATTCCTAAGGTGTAATTTTATCTAATTTCAAGATAGCACGAGGTAACTTTTTGTAAAAGGTTTTTTTTAATTTAAGAGTTATTCAAAACTCAAATACATAGAAAATTCAGTTTGAGCAAGGCTCTTAAGCACATTTTTGTTGCACAACATATCCTTGAATCAGCCGCATCCAAATTTCTTGAGGAGTTAAACATCCTACCTATGATATCCCCAAATTTGGCAGGCTTTGTCCAAGCACTGAATCTATATTTCCTTTAAACTAATTCCTGAAATATAACAATGCTAAATAGATTGTTGGAGGTTACACATGAGCCTCTCCCATTCAAACCTAGTGAGAGGCAAAGAAGCTTTTAAGAAGTTAGAAGACTATAACTAGATCGCTGGTTCTAACAAAATTAGATTATTCTTTAGAATAATCTTGATAGTGAGGATCACCCTTTAGATCTGATAAAGAAAGGAACATTCAGATTGTAAACAGTTTTACGTTATACTTTTGGAAAATCTTGACAAAAGTGATGTAAATTCCTAATTATATATATTTTAGAAAATATATCTATATTTTTCTAAAATATAATGCACTCTCACTATCTCCCAAGGTATTCAGTATTTTTAATAAGGAGTGGGAAATAAATACTCTCAATAATAAAATAAATAATAATAGAAGTAAACAGCCTGGAAATATTTTTTTGTATCCACATGAAATAATTATTTCCATGTGCTTTGAACATTTAAGATATTAAGTTATACATTGCTTAAAAATGGCATATGTACATAATTTCTTAAGAGAGCAGGGAAGAGAATATTAATTATAATAAAGAATATTATTCTGCAAATAAAAAATCACTTTTGTATTTTTCGTTTTTATGTATATCTCCTGTTTTACAGGAACAGATAATAGATTACTCAGAGTTTGTACTGGTTTTATCATGAGTAAAAATAACTATATAAAGGATTACAGGAAGTATTTCTTCAAACACTAACAAAGTAATATGAATTTTGACTTCAGTAAGAGATCTTATTCACACAATCTACTGACTCCAATGAGAAAGGAGTGCCACGCAGACTGAATTTGGTTTGCCTTCACTTCACATACTTGCCCTTTAAAAAAAGATGAAAAATATCTGAGTCAGCTTTATCAGGTAGAAAGAATTTCAGCTCAGTTACTTGAGCTGTGTTTGACCAATGGACAATATTCTAGTAATAGTTTTCTATGAACTATGTCACAGTGACATTTAAATATGACTTATTAAAGCAAACTTTTCAATATCATGCCTTCAGATATACCAAAGTTTCACTCCTATAATTCTTAGCATATATACCCCAAATTAGGCAATACTAATATTTGGTATAAACAGTATTAATGTAACAACAGAACATGGCTACACTTATAGTCTGAGCTGAGCAATAATAATTTTCAGGCCTGATAAAAGCTGAATTCAACTAACGATTGCCTGCAGCTTGGGTTACATAAAATAAAATAAATTATCTACTTATCTACCTACCTATCTCCCTACCAACCTATCTATTGAGATCAGTTGTTTCATTTGTATAATTTGAAAACAACAAAATCAGGCAAATTAATTGCACTTCAACTATGGGATCTTTCTGCTTCAAAGAAAACTACAGTATTTGTTACCAGTAGCAACCATAATATTACTACATATATTTGTTACCAGTAGCAACCATAATATTACTACATATATATACATATATAACCATAATATTACTACATATATTACTACTACATATTGCGATATACATTGAAGATAAGCTTAATTCTTATCCTCACAGAAAAAAGAAAGCATCCGTGATGATTAGATCTAGGTGTAAAAGAAAGCTATTACTACTGCAAAAGGATAAAATCTTCCACCATTCCTCTTTCTGAAATTAGTGTTATATGTAAAAGAATTGTACACTTTATACCACTACAATAAATCTTAAGTATGATTTCAGCCATTCAGTTTGTAAAGATATTTTTGTTTCTAATTCTCTGTGCAATATACTTCATTTATTTGTTTGTTTATTTGTTTATTTATCAAACTTATTAACGACCCATCTCTCTCACAGAGGGGCTCTGTGCCATGCTCAACTGACAGAACAAATTAAGAAAACATGGTTTATTCAAGGCTCCAATCATTCGGAGTTAAATGGAATTTTACCTCTACGACAATATTTCTCTTTTAATTCATTCCCTGAAATCTAACGTGGTAAAGGCATTATATAACCAGAGCAACAATGCATCACCAAATACTTCATCAGCCCACAGATTTTAGAAACTTAGTTGATTGTCTTGTTTTTCAATATCATATGAAGCAAATCAGAAATCAACAAATCTTCCTGGTAAAATTCCACAATAGTAAAGTATTTAAGAGAGTAAGAGAGAATATTGTTTAAGAACCTCTATAACGGGGGTGTCAAACTTGCAACGTCATGTTTAATTATATAGGCCATAGTAAATATTTCTTTTTAATTAGGTTTTAAATTGGGTATTTATTGTTGTATCTGTTTTATAAGGCTGTCAGCCGCCCTGAGTCCGTAAGGAGAAGGGCGGGATAAAAATTGAATAAATAAATGAATAAATAAATGTGACATGTTGCAACATATCGTGACTTTTTCCCCATTGCCGGCAATGAGGTGGGCGCGGTTTTGGTGTGACACATCCGGCCTGTGGGCCGGCAGTTTGACACTCCTGCTCCATAACAATTTCTAAATGCCCAATCCAAGCTTTAAAAACTGGTCAAAGCTTCTTTTGTTTTCATAACATTTTCAGGGAAAATACTCATTTTTTAGATATGTATTTTCCTTCATTAAAATTATATAAAAAACAATGAAATCCTTTTGCAATTAGCATCCAACATATTCATCTTTAATCCACTGCCAAAGATACATACCCTTTTTTGATCTTCAAGCTGTCTCTCTGGTAGACTTTGATCAAGCTCCTGGCGAGTATGGAGAAATTTTTTTAAAGATTGGTACTACAGAGATACTAAATAAATAAGTATTGCTCTTATACAGTGGGTTATCACTCTGAGTACTACAGGAGGTTAAATCATGTGATAAACAAATGCAGGTTGGGCAGTCTGTAGCCCGCAGATCCCAATTGCCACCACACTCTCAAAAAATATGGCCAATTTTTAGCAGCAAAATTTTTCAGGATAAAAGTGGAAATTGGTATCTATCCAGATATAGTTTTATCCTTAAAAATCTCCAATCCTTAAAATTCTCACCAAAAGATCCACTTTTTTCATCATTCATGCCTTTCAGGGACATCATTAGGTCTACTCTTGGGGGACCAGCCCAGTATTTTTTTTAAACTCAAGGATTGCCACTCCTGAACTACTGAAAGTTTCCGTCATCTAACTTTGATAGTATTAATATTTACATTCATGGTTTGTTTGCTGCTTTGCATAAACATACATAACAGAAGCAAATGCAAAAAAACAAAAATTGGCTATCACCATGCAAACACGTACTTTATACTGAACACACTGAACTTTACATACAATTCACTTTACTCAAAATATTCCCAAACATGGAAAAACATTTAATTTCTGCCTGAAGAGACAGCCTCCCTTCATTATAACTTTTTTTCTAGACACACTAGTTTTTGTGTTGTCTTGATTACCTTTTAAAAGATTTTTCGGGTGAATGATAGTTTTATTTAAGACAATGTAAAATTATGGCTTAATATTCAGTGCATGGCTTATAGTAAAGCTTTGATTGATAAAAATTAGAAATGATCGGATTCAAAATTGATATATAAGAGTTTTATTGCTGTAAAGATGTTATATAAGTATGGAACATTTGCTTGATACAAAAAATAATTACCAGTATATAGAAATCATATAAAATAAAGATCCCAGGATTTAACGCCTTTTACTTTTCCTGGTCAACTAATTCTTGATTGTTTTTTTTTCTGGACGTCACATTTATTGTGTCCATATAATAAATTTGTTTGGCCTCCTTGTCTATTTTTGCCCTTACTTCCCCACTGGAACTAGAAGCCCCAAATGGATCTATTTCTACTCTCTGGTCAGGAGGAAATGAAATAAATTGTGCTCTTCTATTTCTACATTTTAATGCAGCTGCCAAAAAAGCCAATATATGCTAGGCTGCATTAACAGAGGGATAGAATCAAGATCATGTGAAGTATTAATACCACTTTACAATGTCTTGGTAAGGCCACACTTGGAATACTGCATCCAGTTTTGGTCACCACAATGTAAAAAAGATGTTGAGACTCTAGAAAGAGTACAGAGAAGAACAACAAAGATGATTAGGGGACTGGAGGCTAAAGCATATAAGGAACAGTTGCTGGAATTGCGTATGTCTAGTTTAATGAAGAGAAGGACTGGTGGGGGGTGTGTGACATGATAGCAGTGTTCCAATATCTCAGGGGTTGCCACAAAGAAGAGGGAGACAAGCTATTCTCCAAAGCACCTGAAGGGAGGACAAGAAGCAATGGATGGAAATTAATCAAGGAGAGAAGCAAACTAGAACTAAGGAGAAATTTCCCGACAGTTAGAACAATTAATCAGTGGAACAATCTGCCTCCAGAAGTTTTGAATGCTCCAATATTGGAAGTTTTTAAGAAGAGATTGGACAACCATTTGCCTGAAATGGTATAGGGTTTCCTGCCTGAGCAGGGGGTTGGACTAGAAGACCTCCAAGGTCCCTTCCAACTTTATTACTATTATTATTATTGATGATTTTGTTGTTATTCCCCTGGGTGGAGATTCAATCCTTTGACATAAATTAGGGATGATTCATTTATTTTGAGTTATTCTACTGTGTCTTTCTCCAGACAATAAGAAAGAGTAGGAGAGGTGGAGATTCATCTCTCCCTCCATTCCAAAATTGTCTTCTGCAACTTTCTCCCTAACCCAAATCCACTTCCCCTTTTTCTAAGGATCAGAATTCCTGGGAGGCACTGAAGCCAGAACTTGCCCAGTTAGGTGATTTGGTCATTGTTAAATGAGACAATGGCTAATGTGTCTTCTGCTGCTTCCCATGATCTTCACATATCTGTATAGCCTTTTTCTAATAGTAGTGACAGAAACAAAGGCAGCAGAGCACTTGTAGGAACTCATGGCGTGATCAAATTAATTCTTGAAGTGGTTCTGGGTGGCTTCCCATGAGAAAATGGAAGGTCTCTGGAATGGAAGGGAGTCAGGAGAACAGGGGGTGGTTATCACAGGTAACTTAAAATAGCAAGATTGGAACTAAGTTGTTATAAGCAAACTCAGCCTCAGGTAAAAGATGAGATCAATTGTCCTAATGGTACTATATCTTCCTGAAGTATTCTTCTTACTTTTTAATTTTTTTTATTTTTCACTATACACCATACACCAAAAACTACATAAACATAAATCTTTTCTTCTAACAGAACAGTGCTTTACATTTTAAATATTCTTTACATCTTTAAATGTAAAATACATGTAGTTATTAATACAGAAAAAGAAAGAGACAAGATCGGTTAATATTGTAAATAAGGTTTAAAGTATTTTAAGTGACGTCTCCTTGTCTTTTAATTCTAACGTAAGTTTGTTCATTTCTGCGCATTCCAAGATTTTATACATAATCATATCATTTGTGGGAATATTTTCACTCTTCCAACATTGTGCATATGCTATACGAGCTGCAGTCAATATGTGTATAATGATGTGTTGGAGTTGTTTTTTCCATCTTTAAATTTATTATGCCCAAAAGAAATATTTCTGGTTTGAAATCCATTTGTATCTCAGTTATCTCCTGTATCCAATCTCTTATCCGTTCCCAATAATTTTTTACTTTGGGGCACAGCCACCACATGTGGTAAAATGTTCCTTCTTCTATTCTTCTAAAGTGGCATTAGCCTTCTCTGTTTTACTATGTAACTTTTGTCAATGAGCACATTGTTCATCCAAGAGATAAAATAAACATTCCAAAAACATACCAGAAGAGAACAGGTATGGTATAAATGAGACTATGGTGAAATCTGTAGTTTTTTTAAAACAACAACAATATGCTAAATAAAAGTCAGATGAGCTATCCCAGGAGCAAAGGAAAAAGATGAAAGGAACCAACTTTCCATCCAGCCTGAAAATAAGAGGTTTGGCAGGGAAAAAGGCTTGATAAGAAGAGATATGAGCCTTGATACCCATTCTAACGTAAAATCACCAAAGGTCATGAAGAAGGAGAACAGGAATTTCAAATAGTCAAAATATTCCATTGAGCAGATGTCACGGCAAAGCTGCAAAACTTTTTTTTTCCAACAGAAGAAGCAATTTATAAAAATAATAAAGGTGAGCTAAAAATCAAAATAAATTCTGGCACAGTTTTTCCCATTCTCAAGAAAAGAGATGGAGACAAAAAGAAGTTCCTTGAAGGCAATCCATCCAAGCCCACATATATGGATCCTGTTCCAGATAAGTATAGATTCAAGTAGGCATAGAAGGGACTTCTTTTCTGCCTCCGTCATGGCCCCATGTTCCAATGGGTAATAGACATTTATAAAAACACTGAACAGCAGGGGGCCTAGACTGCAACTTGCAGTGTACTATTTGACAACTTCTCTCCAGTGAAGCCAACAACAAGCAGTTGGGTGGGTATGATTTTTCAACCAGCTGTACATCCATCTAACGGTCCACTTATTGTGGAAGCTTCTACCTAATTGCTGGAAAACTGGTCAATCATCTGTGTTGTCTGGTCCATCTGGATATCAACTTGGTTGTGCAGCAAAGAATTTGATCCACAGCCAACAGCATTGCAGTAGTTTCTGTATAAAGTGTTTACTCTCACGGTTGAAGCATTTTCCTCCTGGGACGAAGAGTATGCAGTCCTTGCCTTGCTGCCTGACTTCAAATCCAAAATAGCTATAATTCTCTTCTCTCTAGAAACACAATACTGCATCCAGGAACATAATACCAATGAAGGCTTAGACTTATGATTTATTGCAAACAAGATGCAAGGCAGAACGGCTGTTTACTACAGGACACAGAAAGCAAGCCCTATAAATAAGCCCTTTAACAGCCTTAAGATTTAAATATGAAGCCTTCCCCCCCCCCTTCTGGTCAATATACTCTTGACTGCTCATTTCCCCAGCTTCAGACCAGATTTACTTATTTGGTGTTAATAAAACAGTTTTGTAGTAGCCTGAGAATGACTATTTTCTGCTAGATTTACAACTACATATAGCAGCGGTTCTCAACCTATGGGTCGCGACCCCATTTGGGGTCGATCGACCATTTCACGGGGGTCGCCAAGCAAGGCTGTCCGCCATTTTTTCCCCTTTTCTGGCGGGTGCCTTACCTCCCTTGAGCTGGGCCAGCTGGTGGTCGGCCTGCTCCGTCTCTGCCGCTTGCCAGCTACGCCTCGGCCGGCACAGGGGGCGGAACCACGCATGCGTGGCGCTCCCGGGCAGGGAAAGTCCTCGACTTACGACTGGTTGGGTAGTCCTCGACTTACGACCGGTTTAGTCCTCGACTTACAACCGGTTTAGTCCTCGACTTACGACCGGTTGGGGGTCGCGGCATTAAAAAGGTTGAGAACCACTGACATATAGGGAAAGCTCATTTAAGCTATTTTCAATTTTGCATTATATGTCTTTTGGGGAAAATGCAGTTACCGTATATACTCGAGTATAAGCCGAGTTTTTCAGCACATTTTTTGTGCTGAAAAATGCCCCCCTCGGTTTATACTCGAGTCAGCGTCTCGAGAACTGAGGAAAGTGAGTACCGTAGTTCTTTTTTTGGGGGGGGGAAATCTATGCAATCACTAAAAGTCGACACCAGCTTAATCTATATCCAATAACGTCACAAAATAGCATCCGGGGAGGGAGGGAGGGAGGGAAGTCTCCTGCTTGGCCGCTTGCTTGACTTGCAGCCGATTTCCGGGGAAAGCCTCTTTACAGCAGGCTGCCTTTGGGAAGCGCTGCCTCCTTCCATTCATCTCTTTGCTGCTGGAGAAATTTGCAATTGCCCGTGCGAGAGGCAGACGACAAGGAGAGTGGAGTAGCTGCCTCATTTCCCACCCTAGGTTTATACTCGAGTCAATATTTTTTCCCAGTTCTTTGTGGTAAAATTAGGTGCCTCGGCTTATATTCGGGTCGGCTTATACTCGAGTATATACGGTAGTTTAATACTGACAGCAATTTTATTTTTTAACTTTCTGAAGGACAGCACTTAAACCTGAGACATACTGTATTGTCTGTCATGTATATAACATGAACTGTAGTTTAACATATGTCTGAATCAAAAACAGAATTTCCAATTGGGTTTTAGAAAATATTTCAGGCTTTTGGAAAGATCACTGATAATCTAGGGGTAAAAGTGAATATGAATATTGTATTATTATTTAACATAAATTTACATTGCTTGAAAACAAAAAGAAGAGCTTAGACAGTTGTAGCTATTGTACATTTCTTAATGTGAAAGAATGGAAGATCATGTTCTTGATCTGGTCAAGAGTTTAGGAAATATTAGTGTTTAAGAAGGACAATGGCACTGCAGAGAAAAAATCAGTACGTTTAGTAGAGTTAATTGTGTTTATAAACATACAGTACTATGTGTTCTGGAACTAAATACACTGACATGTCCCATAGAGCTACTACAATAATTAGAAGATGGAGTAAATGTATTAGTTGTCTCTATTGTATTTATTTATTTATTTATTTATTTATTTATT